TACTTCTAGGTTTACATCAGCCGTACGCAATCGTAACATGGCCATTAACGCAACCTCCTTACAAAGTTAGGTCTAGCTAGACGTTAATCGAAACAAAGCGCGCAGAAGTGTCACGACTGTCACACGAAATGTGACATGTCTTATGAAAAGTCGCGGCCGTGTACGGTACGGTAAAATTTAAATTTTCAATGCGTTCGTTCCCGAATAATGCGTTGATCATCAAAGTATTTTATTGCAATAATTAAATATTGTAAGTACCCAGCCCGGGGTTGGCGGGGAGTTGACTCCGATGACCCCGGGATCCGCCCTTGCTTCTTCTTGTGGCTATCACACAAATAAATACTTTTTTTCACGACTAACCTGAGAAATTGCTATTATTTACTCCATTCCCATAACGTGAATAGATATTTCTCATCCTTGGTAAATAATGATAATAAAAAACACCTAGGTAAATAATGAGAATAATTCTATAATTTTGAAGATATTCACAGAAACTTTTGTCAACTTGATTATCAACTAGAAGTAGGAAATTGAACATTAGAAATACGCTTTAAAATTATTTGAAATTATAATTAATTGTACAATTGTGACAAATGTGTATTCCAGCATTTCCTGTATTGATGGAACTAACATTTAGACCAGGTACATTCACTTCTGTGTTACAAACGATCATCGTATTTCAAACGCATTCATTACCTTTTTCCACTAAATTATTTTCAACATGGACGTTTTCTAAGACAGCATATTGACTTGCAGAAGAAGTTATATTTGAAGCTTCATTGGGTAAATTACATGTTTGCACTAATTCGGCGATTCTCTTCTTATCAGTTATTGATTCCTCAATATATCCTTCAGCTACTGCAGCCGACTTCCACCCACCGTGCCATTTCTGGCTTAAGTCTCCTCCGTTTTCTGCGAGAAGTGTTGCCGATCTACGTCTTAGAGAATGATCAGTATAATACTCAGGATTTTCTAATTTGAGATAATTAGCCACGGCATATGGTACTTTACTAATACTATTGTGCCCAATATTTTGTTTGATATGTTTACCTTTACGGTATACAATAAATAATTTTGTAATGTCAGTTGGCAACAACACAGTTGGCAACAACAACAAACTTCCTTGATGTTCTGTTCTTTGAATTAGGAATATTTATTATGATAATATCTTTTATTGCAAGTGTCGATTTTAGCATGGAATAATTTGCCCACAATGTCGATACCTTTTTGCCTTCAGATTTCTCTTTGAAATACGCTAATAACACATTTTCTGTTACTTTAGCAGCTTTCCTTTCTTCACACCATGTTTTCAGTTGGTTATATGCATTCATGTATAGTCTCTTTGATTTTTCTGGCAATAAATCACTACTTGTACTAGCTGCCACCATTCTAACTTCAGGTGGGGTATACATCATCTCTAAATCATCGTTACTTGAATTTTCACCCATTTTTCAATTAATTATATTGACGTTTTACTTATATAGATCTTTCAACTTCTTCAAATTGACATCTAAATTTGAATTAAAACCGCATTTGGCAAACTGACAGCAATAATAATCATTGTACAGTGTTTGGTTGTCTTGGAAACGCCGGCAAACGTTTTCATGGTCTAAGTAGATGTTGCGCGTTTATCGTCGACATCGCGTATTCAACATGAAAACTGTACCGTTTCAATTTGACATGCAACAAATCATAGCTGCCTTGGGTTATCATATAACCAAGGACATTTTTTTTTCACTATAATGCAGAATTGAGAAATTCTAAGTTCTGAACATACAGAAGCGATGAGAGAAATGAAACATTGAAATATATCAAAAATGCAATGAGACATTTCCTAGATTCATATCAAAATTTGACACATGCCAAATATTTACATAAATAAAGCCAGTCTGATTAGAAATACGCTCGCACATTATAAAAATGCTCTGTAAATAATAGCTCACTTCTCACCCAAGGTATATAATATACTATTTCAAATACGACTGGTAATAGTAAGGTTGAATTATAATGCAATTAAAAACATAATATCTACCTGGCTCTAACAAAAGTCGATGTATGATCAATTTGTACCTAGCCAGTGATGTCATGAGTAAGCGCGGTTAGATTTATCAGAACTCACACTGCATCAAAAAGTTATAAATAAAACTTGATTCTATAAGAATATATCTACACTTTCCATAGAATAAACGAGTCTAAGCTCTGAAAGACTTATTTTCGACATATATACTTCTAGTAATATATGAAAGGATAAACCATTTATTGGATCGACAAAATAGTTGACACTAGAGTTTTGGGAGCAGCACACATCTGTACTAAATATATTCGTTTTCAGTTTGTATAGATAAAGGATGTTATTTTGTGGAGAACTTACTTCAACAGCTGGAAAGATTTAATTAAAAATATAATTTACAATCTTTATTGTCTACCGGCACGTAAAATGGAAAATGGTCTGTTCTCTTTTGTGAGGCAGATTGAGGAAGTGGTTTGAGATTTGAATTTATGAGTCGAGCAATTCGCGCTGAGCTCTACTACGAATGAAATGTGAGGATTTTTATTCGGTCGGAGATAAAACGGACGATAACCTAGAGAGACAATTCTGTTTTCTGTTGATGATACGGTAATATCCGACAGTTTCGTAGCATTCGAATTCGTTCATGTTTAAATTTGAGAAATATGACTATTTAATGCTCCTCCCCAAACTACTATTCCATAACGGAGATGACATAAGTATAGTGTGTGAAAGCCAGATGGAATGAATTCATTATTTCGGTTACGGTACTTATTTTAACGAAATCCCGAAACACGCCAAATTTAAATTTTAATTTGACATACTTCAATGGAAAAATGCTACCCATACCTTCAACTCCCGTCGAATGACAGGTACAACCACCAAATTTTTTAAACAGAAAGTATGGGCTTGTGATATATCATTTGAAACGTCTTTTCATTCTCTATTCAAAAATGTTATCGCTTTCAAGTTTACTGCAACATTCAAGATAAAATAAATTTAAATCATGTGGTTAGCGAAATTAGATAAAATACATTCAAAACTTATTGCAATATACTCAAAACTTATTTCATGTTGAGGTATTGATAATAAGAAATTAAGCAAAAACCATAGAAATATTCTTTTTAGATGGTATCCTTTAAAAAACTGTAAATGGTTTCCGTGGCAACGTTAGTTAGTTTTGTCAACTTGTTTTGCATATTACAACATTAGTTGTTAGTATCTTAATTTAAGTTTGAAGTTCGTTAACTTAACGTTAACTTCAAGCCTGACAAATGGTCAGTTTAACGAAAATGCATAAGATAACAGTTTTACAAATGATTGGTTACGGAGATAAAACCCAAACCCAACAAGAAGTAGCTCGCCTTTTCCATGAGGAATTTTCTAATTCAATGCCCATATCTCAAGGAACAATAAGCAAAATAGAGAAGCAGTTTCGCGAGCTTTCATGATCATGTGGGGCAGATAGAAAAGGCAGCTGCCAATGCAAATTAGAAGTGATGCTTGAGTTTGAGGAAAACCCAAATACATCGAGTAGACAGGTATCCACTACATTCAATGTTAGCTATACATCGATAGTAAAATATTAAAATAAAATAAAATGCGTCCCCATAAAACGAAAACTACTCAGGTGCTCATGGGAGACGATTTTGATAGAAGAACTTATTTTTGTGAACAAATGATGGACATGTTGGATAACAATATCATCCAATTAGAAGACGTTATGTTTTCTGATGAGTGTACTTTGTCTCTTAACGGTCATGCCAATCGGAAAAATTGCCGCTACTGGTCAACGGAAAATCCTCACTAGATGAGAGAAGAACACACGCAATAACCTCAAAAGGTTAATGCTTGGTCAGGGATTGTAGGAAAGCATATCATTGGTCTTTTTTTCATTGAGGGCAGTTTGAATGGCGATAATTATTTGGCACTACTTCAAAATGATGTCATTCCAAGTTCAGCAAATTTATATCCTGATCCATGAAACCCTCTAGTTCCAGTAAATACGATATGGTTTCAGCAGGATGGAGCACCACTACATTAACAATTTGATACCCGGCAATACTACGATACAATATTTCCCAATCGGTGGCTAGAGAGGCGAGGATCGCTTGAATGGTCAGCGCAATCACCTGATCTTTCATCATTAGATTCATTTTTATGGGAATATGTAAAGAGCAATGTGTACAAAACTAAACTGAACCTTCAGATCCGAATGACTTGAAAGATCGAATATCGCTTGCGATCAGGTTGGTCACGTCTGATATGTTAAATAATGTCAGAAGACAGTTTTATTCGATTAAGATGTTGCCAAGACGTTCGCGGTGAACATTTTGAACATCTACTTCGTTAACATCTATATTTCTTTTTTGCATTCTACATTTCATTACGTTTCGCTGTACATTTTAGTTTTTGAGTGTATTTTATCAAATCTCGGTAACCCATGATTTTAATTCATTTTATCTCAATTTTTGCAAAAACTTGAAAGCGATAACATTGTTGAATAGAGAATAAAGAGACATTTCAAACGATATATCACAAACTTTTACTTCCCATTTGAAAAATTGGGGGTTGTAGCTGTTATTCGAAGAGGGTTGAAGATAGGTGTGGCATTTTTACGTTGATGAATGTTTTGGTATTTTTTTTAATATGTACACCAACTGAAATAATTAATTTATTCCATTTGGCTTTTACACACTGAATGCACTGAAATGCCATGTTTTTTTTTTGTAAAATAAATGTATCAAATCATCTCCTGAAAAAATACTGGTGATTTTGGATAAGAGATGTTGATATTCTGGAAAGTTTAGCAAGCCAACATTGAATATCTCTCAATGGTTTCATACTGCATCCATTGGTGTCAATCCAGTCTCTGATTTCCAACTTGATTTGTCTGATCGATCTGTTAATTTCCGTGGTTCAAATCTTTATAACTTCAACGATGTTTTAATGATGTTCTGAAGTACCTAATTTTTTTTTCATTCAAACAGTATTATTAAAAATTCCTTTATTTTGTTGTAACACATATCAGAATGTATAAATAAAATAGTTGAACTACACACAAGATAAACTTATATTCTATTTGGGAACTGCACATCAAAAAATGTCATTTCATCATTGAAGGTGGTAGTATATTATTTTTTATCCACAAATTTTCAATTTCATTCCATATAGTCCATTCCTTATGACTGTTGTGACTTCCACTTTTGCAAAACTTTCGAAACTTCTTTGAGAACTTCATCTCTCTAGAAAAAAAATGTTGAATGAATGACTTCGATTATATTTTCAATTGACTATACCTTTGTGAAACAATATCTAACGAAGTTTTCTCCTATCGCCTTATTTTTTTCACCAAAAAATACTGATGATGGTATACCCTGAAGACCAACATTCTTCGTCATCCATTTCGTAAACCTGAAATCCATGTACTGGTCCTTCTCTTTACTGAGATCAATTTTTGAAGCTGAAATGAAGGAAAATTGGTTTTTGTATTGATGGATATATCTACATGATTCTGTCCATATCTAATTTAAATCCATTCTCCATATCATAATCATAAAATAGTGATTACATATCCATGAAGATAATTGAACAATTTTTACAAACCCCGGTAGAAATGAATGAGGAAGCTACCGAGAAAGTTTCAGTGTCAACGAAACGCGTCTAGAAATAAAAAATGTTTGTTTGAAGGTGATTGACAATGTTTCATGATGTATTCCATTAGTTCGGACTTCCATTGTCTGATATCATATAAAATGATGTGAAATTCCTGAAAGAACTATACAAAAAAAATTAAAAAAGAATAGCTGTAAATAACAATAATATTAAGGAAAAAAATCCTGAAATGAAATAACAGTGAAATGGAATTCAAGTAAAAATAGAACAATTGAACAAAAAATGAAAATTAAGAGATTCCAAGCCAAGTTAATTCACGACGTTTCGATTGTTAGTATCCACAATCGTCTTCGGGTGATGATTGGACTAATTCCTCCGAGAGATGACTATTTATGGGTCATCTGAGTACTTTCACTCATCTCCGCTTTCCTTTTCAACATTCACCAGTTTAGCGGGAGATGACCGTTTGGCGGGAGTTGGCCATTTTTCGCTTGATTATTGGTTTCCATATGTTGCGTATCTCTACCCTAACTTGGCTGAATACATTGTTGGCTTCTTTGTGTATGATCTCAGCTTGGGACCACTCGATGTTATGTTGATGGGTCCAAACATGCTCTGCTATTCCTGATTTGCTGGTTTCCCCTAGCTGTGTGTGTTTCTTGTACTCGGCAATGCGAACTTTTAAAGGCCTCTCAGAATCACCGATATAGGATTTTCCGCACTCACAGGGTATTCGGTAAATGCAATTCTTGGAATCGCAGTCCACGTTTGGTGGCCTAGTTTTCGTGAGGCTCTACGGTTACTGTTTCCGGATCTGAAGCAGGTTCTGATGTTGTACCTGGACCCGATCCTTCTTATCCTCTTCGATAATCTTCTGATGTAGGGAAATGCAAGCAATGGTTGTGATGGCTTCTTTGCCTTGCGAGGCTTCTGCTGTCTTTTAGCCAAAGTCTGTTTCACCATCGCTTTGGAGAAGCTATTCCAATGAAGATCATTTTTGATGATGTCTAGTTCCTTCCTGATACCTTCCTTCGTATTACATAGCCCGAAAGCACGGTCTAAAAGAGTCTTGATGATTTCTCTTTTAGTCGATTGATGGTGGTTGGATTCGTGGTTCAGATATTGGCCCGTGTGGGTGGGTTTTCGGTATACAGATGTTTCCCACTTAGTGTCGGTTCTCTTCACCAATACGTCTAAGACTGACAATTCGTTATGGACTTCTTTCTATATTGTGAAAATGATGGCAGGTCTTACGCTGTTGATGTGTTTCAGGATGGCGTCTAGGCGTCATAATATGGAATCATGGAAATACTGAACTAGACGCCTTCCTGATACACATAAACAGCGTAAGGCCTTCCATCACTTTCAAAATGGAGAAGGAAGTCAACAACGAATTTCCATTCTTAGATATATTGATGAAGAGGACTGCCACTGAGTAGGAAACATCTGTGTATCGAAAACCCACCCACTCGGGACAATGTCTGAACCACGAATCCAACCACCATCAATCGACTGGAAGAGGAATCATCAAGACTCTATTAGACCGTGCATTCGGGCTCTGTAATACGAAGGAGGGTCTCGAGAAGGGACTAGATATCATCAAAAATGAACGGAATGGCTACTCCAAAGCGATGATGGAACAGACTTTGGCTGAAAGACAGCAGGAGCCTCGCAAGGAAGAGAACCGTTACAACCAGTGCTTGCTCTTTCCTACATCACAGGATTATCAGAAAGGAAATGAACAACATCAGAACCTGCTTCAGATCCGGAAACACTATCCGTAGTAGAATCACGAAAACCAGGCCACCAAACGCGGACTGCGATTCCAAGAATTGCATTCACCGGATACCCTGTAAGTGCGGAAAATCCTATATCTGTGAAACTAAGAGGCTATTGAGAGTATGCATTGCCGAGCACAAGAAACACACACAGCGAGAGAAAATCAGCAAACCAGCCGCATACATGTTGTCTGACAATGTATTCAGTCAAGCTAGCGTAGAGATACGCAACATATGAAAACCCATAATCAAGCAAAAAATGGCCAACTCTCACCAAACGGTCATCTCCCGCTTAACCGGTGAAGCGGAACAAGGAAAGCTGAGATAAGTGAAAGTACTCGAATAACCCATACATAGTCATTTTTTGGAGAAATTAGTCCAGTCATCACCCGAAGACGATTGTGTATACTAACAATCGAAACGTCGTGAAGTAACTTGGCTTGGAATGTCTTGATTTTTATTTTTTGTTGATTTGTTCTATTTTTACTTGTATTTCATTTCACTATTATTTCAATTCAGGTTTTTTTTTGCCGTACTGTAATTTTCAGCTATCCTTTCTCAATTTTTTATATTAGTTTTTTCAGGGCCAATGGAAGTCCGAACTTACGAAATTCAATAGGCATTTATAGGCATAAACTATAACATATAAACTAAAATACAAGGAATACAGGAGTCAGTCAGCACAAGGCAGGGTACGCTTTTCATGGTAAGGTGAGTTTACAAAAAGTCCACTCAACCTAAAAATAATTAATTTTTCAAAAGTGTCGCAAGAATAATTTCGGAACCCCAAAATTTATAAACTATGATGTAGGCAAGTAATTACTTATTATAGGTGTTTCTCAACAGATAGTAACATTTAGTATTGAATGAAATAGCAATAAATATTGGATTATATGATATATTCTTCCAAAAAGTTATTTTGATCAGAGACAGAGTGGTCGTTGGTCATAATTCCATAAATTATCACCTAGATAACAATGGAGCATAACAGCATTTTGAATAGGTCCAAAATTGTTTTTTTCTGCGATAGGGATCATTCAGATCGCCAACATTGTCGTTACAAATCTGTGACACTTTAATGATAGTTACAAGTGAGTTTGTGACAAGGAGGGAGAGAGACGGTAATAATATTTTCGAAATGAAAATGTTTCTTAAAATACTTTTTGGAAATCCAGAGATAGATTTTTTTTCATATCAGTCTGAATCGTGAGTCTAGTACTCTTTTCTGCATGGCTGAAGTGAAGAATATAGTGATATTTTCGAGTGGCACTAATAATTAATTTTTTTCCAGTTATTTATGTTGAATACTTCATTTCTATCAGGGTTCATCGTCCAGATGCAACATCTATCAGAAATATGAGAAGTGAGTCGAACGATAAAACTAAAACTGTCAGTTGATTTCACAAATTGTTTTGGTTTCTTGTGCTTCACATCATAACGAGAGTGATTCATTTTCATTTTTATTCATGTCTATAATGACTGCACTAAAAAAAATTATCCATACAAATTCACAACTTAACAACTCAAATCACAGCAAACCACAAAACAATCGTCGTGAGAAATTGTATTCTCATAATAGAACTCACCAAGAGGTGTCCAGTCAGCTAGAATGAAATAACCTCCATCGGGAATAACGGGCCTCATTCCGACATCCGCCAAGATTTCAGCAAGGTAGTCTCGCTTGGATTCCAACTCTCTCATGAGTGATTTGAAGTAACAATCATCTGAGTCAAAACGGTCCAATTCTTTCTCGAAAGCTATGGCAATAGATTCCTGCAACGTGATAACGTGTTACATAGCTAATGACAGCTGTTCATCGCGAGTTTTAGGTCTTAACCTAAGCAGAATTTGAAAAGCTCAAATTTCACCATCAGGTCTTTTTATCTGGTGTTACATTAAGTGAACCTCAATGGTAGAAATGAGACAAGGGAAGTGAAATAAAGGATACCCCACTAGATACACACGTATTTTCATAAATAATTTGTTATCACCCAAGTTTATGTACCTATAATAATATTTAATGTGGAATGACAAAGCAGAAGGGTATAGTTCCTCACCAATACTATGAATTTCAAATGGTAAATCTGTTTTTATCACAAAGTGGCCTCAATTTAGAACCCAATTTCCGTAATTATTGAAATTCCATCCATATGTTCAATATTCATCCAACATTCAATAAATAACAATCGCTACCAGTGAGCAAATGTAAAAGTTATGTATAACTAGTTTCAAATTATCAGTAAGAAATAGACCCACTCACTTTGGACCTTACCTAACCTAACCTAACCTATCCAACCCTGTGCGAATTTGAGACAGAATAAATTGAAGAGGTATGTTTCGAAACGTCCAACGGTTCTTCGGCAATCTGGAGAGTGTTGAAATATGGAGAAGTGAAAACCCAGTCTGCGGTCAAACTAGCGGTGACTAACTGACCACTTTTATTCAGACGTTGGAGAATATCAACCTAGCAGAAGCCTTCTGACAAAGTCGTTGAGTATCCAAGAAACTCCATAGCAGGAACTTGGATTCGATCCCCGTGAAAAATTCTGATAAAAATGTGATATTTGAGCTTTCTTCATCCATGTTTGCAATTTTACATCTATTNAATCCTGATAAAAATGTGATATTTGAGCTTTCTTCATCCATGTTTGCAAGTTTACACCTATTTCTGCTTTTCGGTAGGGGGTTATAAGCAAAAATCAGAAATGCCGAAACAAAAAATGGAAATAATTGTACTACTACTTCAAAAAAAGTTTCAAGAAGAGACATGATATCATACCAGTCAGTTCGACTTTTGGTACTGAGGGAAAAAATTAAACCAAAGTTCATAACCAAAAACTGGTTGATTTCATAACGATGCTCTTCTTGAATTATGTTGAATGAAAGAACACTGGAAGGATACTGATCCACAGTTCATCATCATCAATGAAACCACACCATAATAATCAATCTCTACTATTGAGCCGGCGGATTTTTTTTGCTCATCTGACTATCGCAAAAATTGCCATTTTTTTAATTTTCTCTCCATTTGAAGAATTCAAAAAACCTAGCTGACTACCCTCCCCTTCAATTCTTGCCCAACCAGAAAAATCACTTTTGCATTCGATATTTTCGTCAGTCCATATAAAGCCTACATATAAATTATGCTAGCAGAGAACAAGAGTTGGAAAAGTGAAGTTTGCTCAAATGTTTCTTCAATTAGAATCATAATGATATAATTCCTCATGAACTTGAAAAAAAAAATGGTAAAAGACAGTTTATTGTATTTCATTCTGAAGAGGAAGGCTAAATAGACAACATGATTGATCATATTGCCAATTGTACAAAAAGGAATTATGCGAAGTGTAGCATAACTACTGAAGACCGACAATGAAAGTTACAGCATTCTGAAAATGACCTCTGACTTAACGTCTGCCACTGTCAACTATCACTTACTTTATATACTCCTCATCCCGAACAGATAGTACTGAATCTTTCTGTAGGAGAAAATTGTGAAAGCAGATAGCTCTTTTTGGTTGAGGAATGGATCAAATAGAACTTCAGGTGCAGGCGTATACAGTCTCAGACCCAGAAACAGAGATATCAACCTGCCTAGAGACCTAAACGAACATAAATTGACGTGTTTTTGGATTTTTCCTAAATACCAGTATTACAAAAGTTATTAAAGGTGGATACTTTTATCTGAAAAGCACTGTATATTATGAAAGCTTTATTATGAAATACCGATTGTTGAAATTCAAAAATTAGGTTTGACAACGGAAGCCTAACCAACCCAGCCACATTAAATCTTTGCAGGTTGCGGTGAAGAGTCGAATAGACCCACTTACTTTGGACCTAACCTAACCTAGTCTAACTTCTCCAACCCTGTGCGAATTCGAGACAGAAGAAATTGAAGAGGTATATTTCGAAACGTCCATTGCTTCTTCGGCAATCTGGAGAGTGTTGAAATATGGAAAAGTGAAAACCCAGTCTGCGGTCAAACTAGCGGTGACTAACTGAACACTTCTATCCAGACGTTGGAGAATGGCGACCTAGCAGAAGCCTTCTAACAAAGTATCCAAGAAACTCCATAGCACAGGTAGAACATCCACGGCAGGAACTTGGATTCGATCCTTGCGAAAAATCCTGATAAAAATGTGATATTTGAGCTTTCTTCATCCATGTTTGCAAGTTTACACCTATTTCTGCTTTTCGGTAGGGGGTTATAAGCAAAAATCAGAAACTTCCTTCCTTTCTTTGGAAGATTCTCTCATCCCTTTTTTTTGTATCAGATGGAGTAGTAGAAAGCCAAAAACTTTCTTTCCCAAAAAAAAATAATGATATAATTCATCATGAACTTGAAAAAAAAATGGTAAAAGACATTTTATTGTATTTCATTCTGAAGAGGAAGGCTAAATAGACAACATAATTGATCATATTGCCAATTGTACAAAAACGAATTATGCGAAGTGTAGCATAACTACTGAAGACCGACAATGAAAGTTACAGCATCCTGGAAATGACCTCTGACTTAACGTCTGCCACTGTCAACTATCACTTACTTTATATACTCCTTATCCCGAACAGATAGTACTGAATCTTTCTGTAGGAGAAAATTGTAAAAGCAGATAGCTTTTGTTGGTTGAGGAATGGATCAAATAGAACTTCAGGTGCAGGCGTATACAGTCTCAGACCCAGAAACAGAGATATCAACCTGCCTAGAGACCTAAACGTTATTTCAAGAGAAAATCTACCCCGTATGTGTAAATTTTGACAGAAAACAATCTCACACATGAGTAAATAATATTATTTTTGGGTAGCTAAGATGCTTCGGGAGGACTTGGTTCTCACCTAGCAACGACCACTTTTCATTGTGAATAAAAGGTGACATAGAAGACTGGCATAGAATGAATCTAAAACATACACTGTTTCTGAACATCACAATTGCAATACTTTTCTCGACGCGCGTTTCATCAATCGAGTTGACCTCTTGAGGAAATGGAGTGCGCATATACAATTGTACATGGTCTGAACTCCTTGACAAACTGGCCTAGAATTTTGTTAAAGTTCATCTTTTAAACTCACTGAATTTTCATGAAGTCTTACAAACTCTTCGAATTTTCCAGAAGCTTCTCCTCCAGGCACTTCGAATTTTCCAAAAGCTTCTCCTCCAGACTTACCAAGTTTTTTTGAAGTTCATCTTTCAGCGATTTGCTATTCTCATCGACTTTGCTCATTATTGAACTCAAATCACCACCAGAAACTTCAAATAAATGTTTCATAATCTTCTCCTGATTCAGTCAAGTTATCCCACAGTCTCTTTTGGAGTACTGATTTCTTTCCAGAACAAGCTAGCTCCCTCTCCTCCAATTCTTGCTTCAATTCGGCGACTTTCAAGTCCACTAGGCGCACTAGAAAAGTGCGCCACTAGGCGCACTAGGAAAGTGCGCGCAAAACCGTATATGTCCACTTATTTTAATTGAGTTCGAAGAACTTAACACACAAGTTTGTTTTATTGATTATTTGGAACCATTTGAAACCATTCACTTCCTGACTGAGTGGTTCAGGAGACATTTCTTTGCAAGCATCTCTTTTCTATCCAGTAGTTCTGAAATTAACTGCGGTTTTGTATCATACACCTCAATTTCATGTACATCCTCAAAAATATCTAGAGGTGTTATATCAGGTGATTTAGCGAAGCATTTTAAGGAAACACGTTTCCCTATCCACCGGTTGGATGGAGAATTGAATTACCTTTTACAATCCCCGTTCGTTCAAGTAAGAAGTTGGTAGTGTTGTCTCGATGACGAGTGACACTAGTGTCTTTTTCACCTAAATGAACTAAAAATATCCTTTCAAAAGTTAAGAAGGGGTGTATTCACGTCCCCAGTGCATAGAAAATCAAAGTGTCAATGTTGATGTATGTTGCATGACACAAACCTGTATCGGGGTAATTCCGGTGTAGGTCGAGTTTTGATGAACCATTTGCAAGTTAACCATCAAATTTTCTGGAGAATAGGCCCATCCCGTCTTCCAACCGGTAATGCTGAACGTTTTCCCGGCTGATCCGATTGTTATCGTCCTGTCCCACATTCCAGGTAGAGAAGCTGAAAAGTCGTTAACTTTGAGTTATTGTGTAGGTGTTTTATGATCCTTATTGATACAAATTGTGAAAGAGTTTGCTGTAACTGAAAGAAGAATAGAATTTCTCACGTTTTGTGAAGCGGTGACGGATTGAGAGAATTTTAGTTGAATATTTATAGCTTTCTCATTGAATTTTTCAAAACAGTTAAATGGAAGTATCAGAAATTTGAAACGAAACTATACTTTGGATATTTCTGAAACTGATGGAAACAAGGTGAGGTGGGGGAAGTATAGTTTGCAAAGTTCAACTTCAACTAGACTTCAAAAATCAGATGGAAACGCTAGGCTAATTTTTTTTGCTCCTAATATCCCCTATTTCCCTGTTTTTGAATATACAGTTGATTTCTTTGAACTTCAAAGACTTTTAACATCATGACTAACGCGCTTGCCTTTTCAAATAGAGAAAGCGCGTAACGGGCCAGCAAAATGACTGAACTTGTGTTTTTTATTATTTTTTATCAGGGCAATGATTTCACCATGATCATTTCCCATTTCGAAATTTCAACATTGGATACATATTTTCTAAATTATGAACCTCTACAATTAATTAGGCCGACAACTGAACACAAAAACAAAAAGCAATAAACTCTTTTTCAATAGATACAGAGCATATTGATCATGAACTGAATCACGTTAGAATGTTTGAGGTATAATAATAAATTCTAAAACAGATGATCAGATATTTTGAACGGTTTTCGGGTTTTGCCGTGGTCTTCTTTGGTTATAATTTCCAAACGTTTCGACTGCAACTGCGGCAGTCCCCTTCAGTGGCGTGATTGAAGTATTTTTTTTGACATGTCAACTGAAACTGAAGCTCCTATTTCGCCGTGTCATTTAAAGTGCTGATTTTTCGCTCACTTATTTCCAATAGAATAAAACCTTTTATGAATAAGTTGATGAAGTCGCCATGAGCAGTCCACTTAGCTCGGTAGTGGTGAATTTCTACATGGAAAAATTTCAAGAAAGAGCCATACAAATCTCAGAGAAACGACCAAAGCAGTAGTTGTGGTACGCGGATGACAAGTTCGTTGTTTGGAGTCATGGAAAAGAAGAACTTCAGAACTGCCAAAATTATGTGAATAGCTTAACCTAATAAATTGTAGAATTCAACATTTGCACATGATACAATAGCTTTCTCAAGCGTTTTAATACAAAATGCTTGAAAACGCTTGAGGAAGCTATACTAACAATATTAATAGAGAGTTCATCTAGCTATGAACCTATCGGACGAAAAGTGAGAAATGAAACTTTCTATTTTTTATACAACATTTATTTGTAACTAACATTACTGTAGTCCTATAAAGACATACAATATGATTTATGATCGTTCAAAAATGTCCTTATACGACGAAACTGCCGTAACATTAGTTACGGTATGAAAACATAGGAAGTTCCATTTCTCATTTTTCATGATGGTATCAAATCACGTAGTAATGGCTACATCCATCAATTTATTATGCTACTGAATACATACATAATACAAACAGATCCTTATAATTGGTTGAAAACATAAATAATATATTATTTTCAAGTAAACTCGATATGAATGAAGTTATCAATATATTACTCAAAAAATCAATGTACTTGTGATGCACTGTTTGGAAACTTTGGTGTAGTAATGATTATTACTGGAGTTTTATCCCAACACTAAACCGTTATTTTTAACACCGCGACACGTGTTTCGATCACCAAGTGATCATCTTTAACAGGTTCATTTTCTTCTTGAAGATGATCTCTTGGTGATTGAAACAAGTGTCGAAGTGTTAGAATAACAGTTTGTTGAAAACTCCAGTAATATTTTTAAAGGAATCAATGTCCAAAATGTGAACAAATTTTTTTGAATGTTACAAAGATTTCACAATTTCCTGAACTTTCTAATGCCAATTTATCATAATCATTGATTATGATATGAATATGTATATATTTTAATGGACATCAGTTGAATTTCTTGTATTATATGGATGGCTATTTTGAAAACTGTCCAGTGGAAGCCTCACAATAAAGGTTCACTTGAACAACTGATCCACTAAACTATCGATAGACTTCGAAGCTTGAAATTTTTTTTTCAAAAATTACTCCTTACAAAACAATTTTTTTCTGGAGGGAGAAACATATAATTTTTCCAATGGTTTCTCGTAGTGGGTATTTGTATATCGCATTTCGTCTTATACATCTGATATAGTATCACCCTAATTAAAGTTTCGAATTAATTTACGAAACATTATGTACCTACTAAGGTATATGAGATATTGCGTCTACGAGTTTGAACAAATTGATGAAAAATATGGATGAAAGAACATAAAACTTGTGAAAATGGAAATCATCAGAAAACCAAGATAGAATTGCATGATATTATTTTACTGTTAAATTTTCACAGGTGATGACTCTTTGGATAAGAAGAATGTTAAACGTATATGACAAAAATGATACAAGAATCAAATAATATATCTTCTATGTGATGGAACCAATCAGGGTTGATTATTCCTAATAGTTTCTCAGAATCTATGCATTTCTGCTGTTTCGTGTGTACCGCAAAAAGCAAAATTTTTAGTTTACACCTTCCATCTTCTCTCAAAAAATTAATATTACGAATTTCTCCTGTGAAAAGTAATTCATTATAGTCAGCAAACAAAACTGATTTATACGGTTACATGAATTGTGCATATAAATTCCTGAAAAGTGTTGTTTCTGATCTTTGGTATAACGCTAACAATATGTCCAGGTACTTAGCTTTATATTTTCATAGTATACTCACCCATTCTGATATGTTTTTTGGGCTTATAGACTAACCATTCGTAGACTTCATCGGAAATGCAGAGTACGTTCCATTTTTTGCACAAATCGGCAATGTGAGTCATCTCTTCCTCGGTGAAAACTTTGCCAAGTGGATTGTTGGGACTGTTGAGAACGATAACTTTTGTCTTCTCGTTGAATAATCCTTCTAGTTCTTTCTTATCCAATACCCAGTCAGCTGACGTTGGTATTTTGCCTTGCACTTCTCTCTGAAATGATTTGAGATATTTCAAGGAAGTATACCGTTATGATATTCGCCTTCAAGTTGAGTTGATTCAGCTTTCAAAGAAATCATTTCATACGCAGTTACGAAGAAACACTAGTTTGTGTCTGAATTAAAAGTATTTTCTATGACAATCATTATTCAAGCAAGTAGTATATCAAACGACTATTTCCATATATTAGTTCGAAAATGTACTTTTAATTATCTTATCAAGGCATTGATGTGTGTAATATCGAGTTCTCATCTTTTCGAAGTTTTCATACATAACACAGAAAATATTGTATTCGAGTTTATTTCACGTTCAAACAGTAACTCACACGAATCACATTGAATAAACTCGATACTTCAAAGAAGGACGATGACATCTCTCCTCACTGAGATTTCAACCTTTGGGAGATAAATGAGGCTCTCCAAGGCGGTCAGTTGCAAAGCCAAGCTCCGACATCTACCGCCTTCACTGCAAGGTTGAAAACTAGAGCACAAACACAACATATTTATGATTCAACAATAGACTTTTGACATAGATCTCATCAAAGGTGCTGGGCTGAATCACAAATGCTGCTGTCCTTAAGGATCAATCCTAAGTAGATGACAACGTCCCTTTTAGCGTCTTCGTAAGGGCATATGTCATCACCCATATTTACTTAGGCTTGCCCTTTACAGACAGTTATGTCAAGCAGTGTATTTGTGGTTCTGCCTAGTACCACTGATGAGACCTATTTCAAAACAGAGATGTCTGTTGTTCAATCATGAATACGTTATGTTTGGGCTCCGGTTTTCATTCAATACTTCAACTGATTCAAACTGTCCGACTTGTCACTGGTGAATAGCTAATTCGATTACCATGAGCGTAGGTGAGAGTCACGGCGCGGCGAGACAAAACTACTATTGATGAATATTTTTTGTGTTCAACTTGCATACTAATTTGTTTGGATTTTTAATCAACAAATGAAGTGAAAGATGGAATTGGCCGATGCTTGATAAGAATTCATAACGTATTTGAATGATACTTTATTGTGAGATTTTTCACTAGACAGTTTAAAAACCGCAAACAACCGTTGTGAACTGGGAATATCTGACAATAAAGTTTCATTTGAATTATTAAATGAACTTTATTTGGAACTGTTGATTCCGAAATTGAGTTGATCTATTGAAAACACTTTCCCAACATCAGAACAAAAAATGATGGTCTCTCGACGCGCGTTTTGCTAACCAAGTTAGCGTCCTTAGGAGATCATTATGACTAAATTTTATTACCAAGTTAGTGTTTCTTTATCTTTATAGTCTAAATACTACCTGTTAGTATCACCTAACTATATATTATATAACTACTACCTGATATTGATCCTATGCTAAACTACCTGTTTTCAATACCTTCTATTTGTTATGTGTTTCCTCTATGTTAGTGATTTCTAATATTTACCGGTTTTTCATTTAGAATTATTATGTATAAGACCAAACGAACGACTGTTCGGAATAGGACCTTTGTCGCTATTCATAGAACTCATTTGGCACTTTCCGATTTCCAAACTTTCGAAGGCATCCAGAAATCGGTTGTCATCTACCGGTCTCAACAACATAGCAACAGCAAACGCAGCATCAATACGCGTTACAAAATCGTAATAATCAGTCATCGAGTATTAATCCAGGATGTATAAACAAACCTCTGGTATGAAGAAGCTACCCACCCGCTACAGCGAAACGTCAGGAAGAAATCCCAAAAAGTTCACGGCCTTCGAACCCGAAAATTAGTGACACTTACCACCCGTTGTTGAATATTATTACCACCCAAATTCAAGGAATATAGATTTCACCGCGGATTTTTATGTAATATAATTTCTTCAAATAATTTGGTGAATAAGTTTATCGAAATCACACTGAACCTGATGAAGTATATCAAAACATTTGAAGTATATTTTAATTTTTTTAGGAAAGTTTACCACGACAATTTTAAAACACATATAATGATACAGATTTATATTCGACGATGATTTCAAGTGATAAAAATTTAAATATTCCAGTTACATTTCAATGATTTTATTACTGTCAACAAAGGAGAAACGTAAATATTCCTCAGTCAGGTTAAGAACCAATAATACACAATCATTCTGATTGATGAAAATGATGAACTTTGTATCTTTACCAGTATACAACGTTTTTCCCAACTAGGGTACCAAACTTCAGAGGGTGATTCTTTAGGTTATTTTAAGAAAATGAGTTCCTATGAACATATGTCCGGAGTTGCTTCGTTTCTAAGATATAGTGTTGAAGTTTAAAAAAAAGGTCTTGATGAAATATCGTGAATATCCTTACAACAATTTGGTCGAAATATGTTACAGTCATATGTTACATTACTTGCAAGACTATGTGAAACTGGGATTTTTGATAATAATGCAGGTGGTGAAATACCAGAAACTGAAATTATGCCTGAACTAGAAGAAACTATAATTGATGCTTCATAATGCTTACACGGATGCTTGTCTTTGGTCTAAGATGAAAACAGAGGTTGCATCTTTTGATGCAACCAACTGATCTTCAGCATTTCCCGTTTCAGTAACTGTTCACACTTTTATTGTATCATTCTTGGAAGAAATACCTATTATTATTATTATTGTTGTCAAACAAATCCCCCAAATAGTACCAGGAAGACTGCACTGCAGCTGGAAGGCAGCCCAAAAACCGCATGGACAGTTCTAAAAAGAAACTTCCCCAGCGTATTTAAGCTCTACTGCCTCGGGATTTCGTCTCAAGATTAATGCTTTGCAGGTGGTTGATTCATACGATGCAATATAATAATAATTTTCAACCCAATATTTTTTAAAGGATGGAACAAATTTTTCACGGGATGCAATCATGAACTTTCACAATGAATGACAATCACAATCACAATGACCATTTTTGGGCCGACAAAAATCCCCACGTTATTAGAGAAAGTCATTTTCAGCAACAATTTTGGCTGAACGTTTGAGTAGGAATGATTCATGACTACCTGATTGGCCAATTTTTTCTACCAGCAAGAATCCTGAATGGACTTTTTGCGACATAATTTACTCATTTTGGTAAAAGAAGTGCCGGTACTTGTAAGAGGCAATATGTGGTTTATGAACGACGGTACTCCAGCATATTTTAGTGTTCTCGCTCTTCAGCATATCGACATCACCTACCTTAATCGCTGGATTGGACGTACAGGACCTCAAAACTGGCCAACTCGCAATCCTGTAATGGATCCTCTAGATTTTTGTGCATGCGGTCATCTGAAGCCTCGCGTTTGTAAAACTCCTGTACTAGATGTGAATGAATTTAGGAATCGAATAATTGACAATTGCAATGTCATAAGAAATACTCCAGGTATTTTTGAACGTATCAGATAATCAATGACAAATCGACTGCCGTCGTGTATTTTATCAAAAGGTGGACATTTGGCTAATTTACTTCAGGGTCGAAATTTTTATTCACTCTTGGTTTTTATTTTATATTGTTCATGGTTAGATTTTAGAAGTGATTTTTTTTGTCGAAGAAACGAAACTGCATATGAAAAAAACACAAGCGACAGAAAAGTTACTTTTTTCAGTTGCTCAATCAAAAAAAAAAAGTAAAAAACTATAAAAAAAGTCAGTGGCTTTCTGTTTTTTCTCAATATTAGCTGTGTTAGCTGTGGTGCCCATTAGGACCTGAATGATTACAATCTAGTTCGGGCTGAATAAGCGCCTAATAACTTCAAATAACTCTGGCAAATTTCAACAATCGGTGTCACGATATTTATGATATTTTATAAATACTGTTTTTTTCAAACTTCAACGCCCTGTATCGCAGAAACAAAGCAATTCCGGACATATGTCTATAGGAACTTTTTTTCTCAACACGACCCAACGAAGACCCACTGAAGTTCCGTACCGTAGTTAGGAAACACCCTGTATACGAGTAGGAATGTGACACTTTATAAAATCAGTATTTTCTTCCACAAATTTTTCTGTTACAAATGAATGTGTATTCCTACATGACCGACAACAAGCTTTAGGAATATTTTGTGTACAACTAAAATTATGATCTGGCACAATTTCTCGAACATTAATGCCACGAGTACATAATTTTATATGAAATATCGTGTTAATTTATAGGATATAACACATAAGTAAGTGTCTGATGAGTAAGATCAGGGATTCAGCTTGGTTTATGTTCTATGTTATTATCAGCTGCCAGAAAAATGTCAAGGTGAATAATTTTGAACTTGAAAGTAACGAAACAGAAATATCGAATAATTGCGATCTTTGAATCTGGGAGTGAGGAAACAAGGAATGTTCAGTGTTCAGTTTATGTTCAAACGAATTCTTGAATAAATATACAGGCTGGTCAAAGGAAATCTCCCTTAACATTTCAGTGACAGGCAAGAAATCCTTATATTGAAAATTTTTTTGAAGTCAATACAATTTTTCGAGATTGAATATTTGTTATAATATCTCATCATTACAGGTTGTCTTATCAGATTTCACAAAAAACTATTGTCTTTCAATTTCTTTACTTTGAAAAGTGACGTTAAAAGTGAATGAAGGAAGGCATATTGTGAATAATTCACTGACCTCATCTGAAGCAGATATAAGTCTATAAATTTGAAAATGATTCCTTATAATAGTCATCGAAATAATAAAAAAACAATAATATCATTTAACTATTTCACTTCGTTGTTATCAACCAAAGCAGATCAATTATGCAGATGAATTTAAGCTGTTTATGTAAGATTGACAGCACAACAGATTTTCTTTCTCTAGGTTGTTGACATTTCAATTTGTCATTGTATCCACAATCATTATTATTATTTCCTCAATATTAAAATTTAGTAGTAGACATAGGTGGAAGGACTAATTTTTAATATAAATAACACAACACAACAAAAAATATTTTTTGAATGTTTCCTACACTAAATTAGTCAATTTCTACTAATTTTGGGGTGATAAAAACGAAAATAACAATGAAAAAATTTTATTAGCTCTGGTTTTTGAGATAGACAGTACTTAATCTTAAAGAGTAGTTATACTATACGTGAAAAGTGAAAGTACATAAAACAATATTGTTATGTTTCTTTTAGAATATTTTAAGTACAAAATTAATAAAAAAAAC